CAGTCCCTAAGTACTCACTCCTTGAGGTTTGGACATTTTCCATTGCCAATAGCAACACAACTACTATCAGTTAACTGCCTGGCATCTGTTAGATCCAGAATTTCCTTATAAAGGAATAAACATCAACTCTGTCAGTAATTTTTAAACTCGTTGAGCATTGGCMAACAAGGTCTTGATACCATGGTTTTATAATCTATGAGTGTTTTTCCTCTAAAAAGTCAAGCTGTGAGCCTTCCAGTGCCSGTTGCTAAAAATTGAGGCCTAAATAAACTTTGAGTCAAGCTGAGCAACAGACAATTCAAATTCAAGCTCTCAAGCCACAATAAGTTTGAAAGTCATCTTTTTTACACGAATAAAGTTGCCCTTCAGCAGCATATTATTGGAGTAAATGGAGTACAMGTAGGTTCAATTGAGGCCTTACGTGTGATAAGGTAAAACCTCTAAGCTTTCAATGTCTATGGCTTCATCAGAGACTGACTAGAGAAATGTTAGCTAAGTATTTATAAAAGCTTTATATAAAAAAAATAAGTGAATGCATCAGTAAACATCATGTGTGGTTGTATGGTGCAACTATGTAGATTTATGCAGGTCCAGTTTATCATGATTTCGCATCAAAATCATAAGCCTTGATATCCAAGCTATATACTAGAGTATTATATTTTAGATATGATCTGCTCTGATTACATTTGTTTCGTATGTTATACATAATGAGAATAATTATTGTAAAAATTTTACAATGTAACGAAATATTTCCAACCAACAAAAAAAAAACTCAAAAGTCTTTAGAGTATGCATTTGTGTTTTATGGATATTGATGACAGCAATGTGGTGTACATAATGGATGCTGCATACAATTTGACTATTCTCTGAGTGAGAAGTGCAACAAAGTACAACAATGATTGTTATCTAATAATATTCATTTTAATGAAAAAGTTGTAAATACCAGTTTGTCTYGGAGACTGTTTGTTATAATTTCCACTGCTGAGTTTGTAAGCTTTGGGCACCTAACAAACCTCACTTCATGTACCTTGGGACAGTTTTCCATGACAGTTTGGACAGCAGCATCTGTAATATCAAGTCCTTGAAGTATGATGGTACTGAGTCCTTCACATTTTAAATAATATAACCATTTGTCTGTTAACAAATTWGAAGGTCCTCCTCTTATATTCAAATACTTCAGCTCACGTTGACTTTTCATCAGGTTAATCATTCCTCTATCTGAGAAAAAACATAAATGTRTGAATATGTCATATCAATAAAGTCCGAAGCAAGTGTGAAGGAGGCCAGGACTGAGCAGGGGCAGATCCAATAATTTACAAAGGGGCATGAAGTCTCTATTGACAGAAGGCTTCCCTGGAAAAWTTTGAAATTGATATCCTGAAATCTCAGGTGTACATGTATATCCTTCATAATGCCATCCATCATTATTAGTAAGTGTGATGTGTGAGGAATCAAAATATGTTCTTGGTAGGAATTCAATATATTTTCGGCAAGCACTGATATTTAAGACTTAAGCTTAATTGCTATCTTTGATGATTTAACTTACATAGGTAATCAAGTTCATCACTTACCAGTGAGCTTGTGGCAGTATTTCAATGTCAAATTCGACAACTGACATCCACACAACGCTAAATTGCCAAGAACTGCATCAGTTATTTGGTTTTCGTTGTATTTCATTGAGACAGTTTGTAGCTGGGGTGAGAGTAAGTTGCTTGAAATTAGAGTGATGTGTTCGTCGGTGATCAGGTCATGATCACACAGTCTTTCCAAGAGGACTTCTTTGTCTGACCATGATAGGAAGTTTCCGACATTGTTAATCTTATCGAGATTGTTTGATACTGAAAACAAACACAGGTCTACTAAGGACTTCATGACTTTGTGGGAAGATGCATCGACGGGCTAGTTCATGCGGAATGTAAAGGAATTTGAAGGCTTTAAGAAGCCTTTAAAAAAGCTGCTTGGCGAGAACACGCTCCAGCTAGATCTGATTTTCGATGGGTTGTTGCCGTGCAGAAAAAATACCATCAATGTATAAACGACGATACCACTGTCCACCTCCTCCACAAACTCTCACTTGATTCTTGACAGCAGCTTCTGTTTCTATTCCTGGGAAATGACCTAAAAATCAGCCACAAAAGCATCATGGGTTATTAATAGATCAATAGTCAGCAATAGTCTAGATAACGAACGGTACTAGACGGTACGTACTTTGGGTAAATTGAGGCTGTTGGGCTGCGCGATTTTTTTTTTACTCTGAACCAGACCTTTGTATAATTCTTAGTCGTCAAAAGGATGCATTTACATGCGTTATTGCCTTTCGAACTTTCGTGAGCCCATAAACTAGTTGACAAGCGGTTATCTTCGTAAAAAGAAAGACATGGCCGATTTTGAACAGGTTGAAGAAGGCGATGAAGGCCGCGGAAATGAAGAGGAAAAAGTGGAAACAACCGAGAAGAAAGAAAAGCAAATTTATGATCACCCTATCTACAAAGAGATTTCGTTGACTAACGGTAAAATCAATAAAATGAAAAAAGAAGAGGTAAAGAAGGTGTTGAACGAATTTGGACTTGATTCCAGGTATACTTAAGCTTAAGTTACATACATCAAGCTTAATTTTAGCTAAGCTCTAAGGTTTAGATTAATTTTTAAAATTATATTTTATTATCAAACTGTAATTGTGGTGACATCAGTTCTGATATGGTTTTAGAGGGGTGAAAGAGGTTCTCCAAAAACGTCTTAAGACATATCTTAAAAAAGAAAAACTGAGGAAAGCAAAGATAGAACTAGAAAAGAAAAGAAAGATCCACTACTACTGTGTTATAGACTTTGAAGCAACATGCGAGAAAGAAAACCCTCAGGATTACAAACATGAAATCATCGAGTTTCCTGCTGTTTTAGTAGATGGAAGTACTCTTGAAGTGGTCGATATATTTCATCAATACTGCAGACCAGTACTTAAACCCATACTAACAGAGTTTTGTCAGGAATTGACGGGGATCACACAAGTAAGGTTAAGGTTTGATTTAGATTTTGACAATCTAGTGAATGTGAATCTTGCGGTCAGACTGACAGGCTGTGAAATTGAAATCAAAATGATTATTTTGTGGTCCCTAATAAACGCCGAGTCAACTCAAACACTGAAAATGCAAATTTATGCAAATTTACATTAGATTTAGTGTTTTTCACAAAACAGTATTTTTTTATATATGTTGTAGTTCAGGTTCAGTATGATTTTGAACCAGTCCAATATAGCTCAATCCAGTACATATCAGTTTAGTGTTAGGTTTAAGGTTAGGTTTAGGGTTAGGTCTTGGGTTAGGTTTAGGGTTAGGTTTAGGGTTAGGTTTAGGGTTAGGTTTAGGGTTAGGTTTAGGTTTAGGGTTGAGCCAGCATTATATAAAAATTTTCTTCATTAATAAATTACAATTAAGATAAAAACAATTTACATTAGATTTAGTGTTTTTCACAAAACAATACTCCAATTTCGAGTTCTGGTTTGCTCTGTGTAAGTCTCAAAACCAAGTAACATATTCTTTTGTTTCATTGATAGCCCGAAAACACGCATGGAATTCGAAAAGAAAGACAATAGAATTGAATTGAAATCTCACACTTTTATTCTCACAATTAGGAATATTTTGCGCACAAATGAGGCTAACACAGAGCATTGGAGAATTCGAAACTGGATCATTTTGCAGGGACGGATGGGTGGCCGAGCGGTGAAAGTGCTGGCCTGTCACCTCTGTGGACCCTGTTYGAATCTCAGTCGGGGCGCCATATGTGATTTGAGTTTCTTTCGTTCTCTCCGTTGAGTCGAGGGTTTTTCCGGGTCTTTCCGGGTTTTCCTCCCTCAGTAAAAACGAACCATTTCTATCTGCTGTGCTCCGCGTTCAGTTGTTCGTTGCTATGTAAAGGAAGCGCCTAGCCGGCAGCACGCCTATGTGTAAGTGTCTGTAAAATGTGTCTGTAATATAACACTTCGACTTGAGAGCGCGTCGAGCTGCGTCTTTCGCAATTCAGCACACCATGCTGCCATGAAGGACGATTAGCACCCAACACCTTTACCTTTACCTTAACCAAACATTACTACCAACAAAATCCTTGATGGTATAATTGGTAGTACTGTGGACTATGAAGCAAGAGTTCAGTGGTTTAAACCCTGATGAAGGTAAGTGTTATTCATAAATTAAAAATATAGAAAATATCAATATTTCTGTGGGGTATAGGGTAAAATAAAGTAGGAAATAGTAGAAGGTAGAAAATAAGATGATAGATAGAAAATGGGAAAGAATGAGATGGGCTTTTAGTTCTTTTAAGAATGCCAAAGCAAAAAAAAAAAGACCAGTACAAGAAGTCTTGTACCGGAACAAATTAGATTAAACTGGTTCAAAAATATATTGAACCTGAACTACAACATATATTTAAAAAAAGATACACTTTGTGATTCTTTTAATATTTTTTTACAAATCTGGACATTTTCACTTTGTTATATTATGCACCAAAAGGCTAAGTAGCTAATGGGCCTGTTCATGAAATTGTTGTATCTATTATGTATAGTAGTTTAATTAAATCATGAGGAAAAAAAAAACACTCACGAGAGGGTTTTTAAACAGCTTCAAAAACTCCAACACTAATTTAAAAAGACGCTCCTGGAGTCGGACTAGCTATTTTTGAAGACACGAGTGAAAAGATTATATGATGTTATATTCTGTCTAWTCATATGATTATATTATGAATGTAAATTGTGGTATAGAATATATGTTTTTTACTTCTAATACATAGTGAAAGCAAGAATGCATTACTTTCACTTTAATGTACTGTTCAAAACCATTTATTCACATGATATTCTTTTTGACTGCTCTCTGCAAGGACTTCAAAAGGATAGAAATCTAAATTTGACCTAAAAGGTCATGTAAATAATGCCCTGCGAACAACTTACAACTGAACTGATAAAATCAAACGTCAGACTAAATGTCAATAAGTGAGATATCTAATACGTTTTTAATTCAAATTGTTGACCTCTTAGGGCGAAACAATTTAAATTTAAATATTTTATTTTTTTTAAAATATGCCTATGCCTAAGTCGTCTTTTTGTTATTGATAAACAAAGTTTCTTCTTGTTCTAATTTGAAATATTTGCCCAAACAAAACTGTCTAGTGCTAGACTTCAGTTTTTCGTAAGCATACTACTCATACTTCTGATGCCTAGACCGATGCATTCCGATGAGATCAGATACCACATTTGTAAACATTAAATAGTTTTTTTATCACATAAAATCACAAATAGAATCTAACATTTACTAAATGATATTCGTACAATGATCTATAACTTTGAGCTTCCCAAAAACGTGACATGATAGATTGGCTAAAAAGTAAAACTTAAGTCGACCTAGCCTTCGGCTGGTCCAACTAATTAGACTGCCTGACGTTTAGTCCTGGGACTAAACGTCAGGCTGCCTGATGTTTAGATACTCCTCATCAAAAAAACATTCTTTTCTTTCAATTGAGCCCATACCTGAGATGTGATTGTATCGCACAGTGTGCATGTCCTCTTATTGACACAAGTGTGGTAAAATTAACAAATTGCGCATGGTTTTGAGTTGCATGTCCAAGGAACAATGAAAAATCATGTGCAATTTTTATTTTACCTCATTYAAGGGTGCTTTCCATTTTGATAGAACTGGCCGACCAGTCCGCTCTATTTAGAGGTATATTATGCTTTTTGKCAACATTTTTCAGYCATTTYGAGGTTTTCTATAGAATAATGGATAGAATTTGAAAATTTGAATTTCCCAACTAAATAGGAATGATATATAATGACATTTTCTCTGGATCTGGCCAGCCAGTTCTGACAAATGGAAAGCGCCCTAAGTTTAAAACTATTTTCTTACAAACCTTTTTTAGGATGTGGTGGATAATTCAATGTTTTTTGGACAAGTTCTAGATGAATTTCATATTTGGTTGAAAAAACATGAACTTGGAACAAAGCACAAAATGGCTGTAGTGACTGATGGGTAAGTTGGTTGTATATGGGGGCAACAGCTATGGTTTACAATAAGGAAATTCATTCATTAATTGAGTGCAGGCAAGATTCCTGTGATGTCCAAGGGTTTGAATCTTGAGGAATAGTAAATGTTGTGGCAGCCACAGGGACCACGGAGCAGGAATTTGTATGGGATGATGTAGGTGTGGTTGTGTGTGTGTGTGTGTGTGGGGGGGGGGGGGGGGGAGGGGGTGGGGGTATGGTTAGGGGACCTAGCGGCTGCTGAGGCCAGGAGGTACTAGGGTGGTCCAGAGGTATTTTTGAAATCCTAACTCTCAGAAATGTAATCTTCAGCATTTTGAGGCATTATACAAGACATAATTCTGACCGCTAAAACTGCATACATGGTCACATGATATTCAATAAAATCCCAAAGACTTTAATTTTAATTATTCATGGACAGTTTTTACTCAATCTTTATAGATGAAAAGTGAAATTTCATAAGGAGGCTCTTTGCTTCTTTATTTAAGAAAATTCCCCACTACTCTTTGGTCCCTGAGCCAAGAAAATATATCCAATGTKTAGATTTAGGGCAATGGAGAATAAGGTTTCTTTCACATGAACACTGTTTTAGTTGTTGTTCAGAATGAGTCCCATTCATTACCTATCATATTCCTATGTTGACAGGGCTTACTGTAGACAGGTTCAAAATTACATAGGAGGTGGTACCTCTGTGGACACCTTTTTAATTAAAAGATCTTAAAAGATCTACCCGCTAGATCTGGAATATGAATCTTAGGTTACTTGTGCTTTATTTGTGAAGTTGTTTTCTTGGGGTCTATTTCTTAATGTTATATWTTTTTTTTCTTGTTAGGCCATGGGATATAGCAAGATTTTTAGTTTTACAATGTGAAATAAGCAATATTATGCTTCCAAAATGGTCAAAACGCTGGATCAATTTAAGGAAACATTATCGTAACTACTACAAAACCAGATGTAAGTTAATTGACATGTTGGAAAACCTTGGACTTCATTTTGAGGGCAGACCTCACTGTGGTTTAGATGATTCCAAGAATATTGCAAGAATTATGATTAAGATGATTCAGGATGGGTGGGAACCGGAATTTAATGAAAGTCTTGGCTGAGGCTCTTGATGCACTRTATATATTGCATTTTTGAAAGGGGAAAATGGTCAATCTGACAGCAATCTGACACACCCCCTTAACAACATAAATATTAAATATTAAAAAAACTAATTATATATAAATATTAGAAAAAATATGTTTGGTTCCCCCTAAAATCTCAGGCTCAGTAATTTTCATATCCCCTATAAATTTGTGTGACCAAAATTTTCAGATCCCCCTAAATTTGCCCCCCCCCCCCCCCCCCCCCTTGAGCTACATATTGTTGTCAATCTCACAAGCAAATGTGGCGACCTTCCTTCTTTAAAATACTTTTAAAATACTTTAAAATACTTCCTGGCAAGCGTTTTTAAGGTCAAAAACGATAATGTTATTTTAATACTTTTTTTGGTCCTAAGGGAATTTTTATCMCTGGCAAACGTTTTTAAAATCCTAATATTTATATAAGATTTTAACACGATAGTGAATYGTCTAAAATCTCATTTCTGTAGTCGCGTATCTTGTATGGTGGTGGGACCTAAGACCATGCAAAGATCCAAAAAACGAAGACTCCAACAAAATCAGTTCAAAATCGTTCCAAACGTGCATTGTGTCACCCATAGCCTGAGTATCAGGCTCTCTCGAAGGGGTTTGGGGCGGAGCGAGAAAGGAGAGGGGGAGACCTACGTAGCACRCAGTTGATGTAATGTATTCATAAAATGTATTGTATTCCATTGTTTCTCRTTCTATTGTATTATGTGTTTTGTATTATATCTTTATGAATATATTACATCAACTGAGTRCTACGTAGGCTCTCCCGAAAGGAGAGAGAGGCTCTCCTTTCTCGCTCTGCCCCAAACCCCTTCRAGAGAGCCTGATACTCAAGGCTATGTCACCCAGAACATAACTAACATCAAAACACGAACGTTTCAAGGACTTTTAATGGGGTCTTATATATCTAAGTAGGTTTTTGAAAAGGATACTTCTCAAAAAAAATAAAAAAATGAATAAAGGAGTCTTTCAATAATTAAACAAAAACAATCCCAAAGTCCAGAAAACAAGTCACTGAGCTTAACAGACACAGCAAGGACATGTATTTGAGACCCCAGTGAAGTCAGACTGAAAATTGCTCTATGGACAGCTTGGAATGACAAGGGTCAAAGTGGGTTGTGGCCTGCTGGTGAACCCCAAGAATGCTTCCCATAGCCCCAGGCTCACCTGAATGTTCCTCGGCTCTCAATGGCCCTGTAGCCTGATTGTCTAGATTCCAGGATTTGACCCCAGCACACCATTACTGACATAGTCCATAGCTATAAGGCATGCAGGATTTGTGAATAAAAGTCAAATATTCAAAGTGCAGTTCATTGAGCACAATGGTAATGAAGTTAGTGCAAATTCATGTCAATTCACTTCAAACAGTAACTATAATATGGGCCAACAAAGACAGCAACCTTCTCAAAAATTCACTTAGATAGCAAGCCCTTATATTCATGACATGTACTGCCATTGAAGGCTCTGTTTNTAATTTGCGACGGAAAAGCGTCGCAAATCCAATCGATTCCTCCACAGGTAGCCCAAGCTCTACTCTGAAGGCAAAAAATGGAAAAAAGTTTTAACGAAATTATTTGAACTTACATACATGTTTTTCTTGCGTTTTATATACCTGGTGTGTATTTTTTTTAGATTTTACCTTGTTATGGCCCCTAGTTAATACAGGGCCTACCCTGGGGGTTTTTGTGTTTGATGGTTGAGTTTTAGCTAGGGAACCACGCAATTTGATCGGACGATAGACTGGTGAATGGCGCGAGGTTAGTCGTAACTAGTTATGTTAACTATTTACTCGGGGTTCCTGTGGAACCGCCGAGTTTAGGTTTCGGCCTTCTTTGTCGCATTTGGTACACAAATTGTCTCGGCCAAATTAGAATGCACTGGGTACGAATCACGTGACATTCACAACTTCCATGTGCTATCTTATGGTGTCGTCGAGGTGTCGTCTTTATACGAGATGGAAGACATGAATTCAACTTCAAACATGYTCAAATCTCTTACAAATCCACACACCATTCGCCGTATAGCCACACTAAAAGATGTCGAGCGTTTTTCGAAAGGGCATTTTGAGAGATACCGCGAATTTATCATGAAATTTATCGTGAAACTTATCGTGAAATTCGAATCAATCTTATCAAAAGCGAACTCTATACTAACTGATTCTACAGGCTCTGAAAATACAAAGGACTTCTCTAAGGAATGCGAACAGAATTCACTGAGGAAAAACCCCCGGGGGGGCACTCCCATATATTTGCTATACGGGGACGTGCCGCTGGCCAGGGTATGGTTTTTGGACTTACTGTCTTAAACAGGGTATACATTTCACCCGAAATTGTCTTAAACAGGCTCGACAATTTAGATAAAAGACCGATATTTTTTTGTGTGTCTTAGACAGGGTAACATTTTCATAAATACCGTAGAAATAATAAAAATACCGTTTCACTGTCCTAGGATTAACGTTTCCCCCCCCCCGGGGGAAAAACCGACGATTGCAACTATTTTATTTAGCAGAGAGGATAAAAGACTCTGTCTTTATAGCCTGCCAGGTGACTATCAAAGTGAGGAGAGCTTGACAAAGACTATCAATTCTTCCTTAATGCTAACTACATTGCTTCTGTTAATAGCCGGCTAGCTGTGCTAGCCAGCTATAGTTTTACCTTTCGCACTCTGTCGGGTCGCAGTTTCCAGTCTCTCTCGAACCACAGGAAGCCATATCTATTAGTTTGCAGTCTCTCTCGAACTGAAAATTTTCTCAAGAATCCAAAATGGCGGGTACTTCAGAGAAAAAAGTACTCAAAAACTATTAACAAGAAATACCAAAAGCTTTCTCATTGAAGACTTGAACTAGGATTTTGCATTTGTGAAGTTTCAAGCTTACTAGTTA